CACCAACACCTTTCAAACTCACCTGAAGGATCGTGAAACAGACTGCGCACGCTGCTTTCAGGAGTGTTAAAGAATGCTGTGGCCATTGCATTGTACTCGCCATCTGGGCAGAACAGCTGAAATAATACATAAAACCTGGTTAGACTCTGTCATTCTGAAGGACCCACAAGTGTTTATAGATACAGCACAATATACACAGAAAACACTGAACAGAGATTATACAAAATACTTAAAACTTTTATCTTGAAAATAATCTTTTTAATAGTGTATTACACGGACACATGACACTTTTCAGAAGATGGAACAGTATGGATTCTGATGTTACATAGCAGAGCAAGGAAAACACTTGCTTGAGAAGATGTCAGAACTTACTTGGAGTGGATATTTAACAGGGTCTTCTGCAATAGGCTGACAGTCATAGGTATACATTGCATAGATCATCACAAAGGAAACTGTAGCAGTCGCAGCTCCTACCAAGGTAGCCTCAATCACTTGCAAACAAGGATGGTGAATGTACCTTTTTTGACCCCAAAAAAGCAAAGAGTTAACCTCTTATCATTTTCACTTATGTAGAAAAATCTCGTATTAAAGTGCATTCTCTTATTAAAGTACAAGCCTGTGCTGGACAGTCACATATTTCTGGTCCAAGCTCTTCCCTCCCCTTTTATCTGCAAGGTAAAATTACACTGGACAGGTGTCCCAAAATTCTGGAATCCCTCCACCTTGCCCCCACTTTTCTCTTCTCACCATCCCTGCCCCACCCACCATGCTCCACTGTCACGAGTTCTGGGATGCTACCCTGAGTGAGGAGTGTTGTGTAAATACAAGTTGGGGTCATTATTATTGTCTAAATTGGCGCTCATTGATTGAGCTTTATACTACACGTTGCCCGCCTTCTATCAGACATTTTCAGTTAATGCATCGTGACTGATATTTATTCTTTAGACAAGAGGTCAACATCTTCAGTCCATTAAATGAGCCACTCTCCATCATTACAAGCATCACATAGAAAATAACTTTCCACTGACTCACAGAAGCTGAATCAACACAATAATGTACTTTGCGCAACTAGGCAATCATGTGTGAATGAAAATTCATGAACTTCACACTCAGGCTACAACATGCTTTCCGACAGCTAATCTGAAATGAGTTACTAGTAGTTTTGTGATGTGTTTTTGCATCCATGAGCAGCTAGATTCAGGCAGCCCAAATTAATTTCATGTTGAGGAAAAAAAAGGGACATCCTGACCAGGGAAATAATGAATTGAATCCTCACCCATAGGAGCGTGATTCAAATTAATTTTAGGTTGGAAACAGGAGACATTTGAGCCTGCACAGAGAGGTCTAAGAACAGTGAAATTGTGCTGTCTCGTCTGTCAAATAACTTAAACATGTTTCTCTCATTCTCCTGAAGATCAGCAAGTAGTCTATCAATAAGTAAATAAATATTTAAAGGAACTGAGTTTGCACATTTAGACCTTCGCACACTTTTTAACTCAAACACCTTTGGCGCTTTCAATCATTGTAAGTAGCTTTTTTATTTAGATATAAAAACAAGACCCTTCTGGAGGTCAGATGTGGGACTTAACGGTCTGTCTCAGCTCCTGTACGTACAACCAGGGAAATTAGGTCAGAACTGGAGGAGTGAGGGAATGCACAGCTGTGGCTCTCATCGCTGGCTGATCTCCAAGTTGGATAGTCTGGCATAATGGGCAGATACTGCTCACTTTCTTTTAGATTGGAACAGATTACATTTATAAATTTCTTGATTAAGTTTACTATTACTGACTACTTCACTTTCAAAGTGAAATGTTGGCAGAGGCAACTATCCACACACTTACCTTATTCTGAACAGCGTAAGCCAGTAATTTAACCCATTAAACAATGCACCAAGAATACCACCTGAAGTACAGAATAATAGATTAAAATTCTTATGAATTATTAACAACTACAACAACAAAATGACATTTGTATAGCGTCTTTCATGTCGGGAGGACGTACCAAGGCGCTGGACAATCAGTGTTTCGGACCCAAGCTGCGGGTTGGGATCGGGGAGGGTGGAGGGCAGGGGAGGAAAAAGAGTGATCAAAGGCATGGTCGAAGAGGAAGGTCTTGAGAAAGGTCTAGGAGGCAAAGGAGGGGGCGAGGCGGAGGGACTGTGGGATGGAGTTCCAGAGGGTGGGGGCAGAGTGGCAGAAGGCCCGCCCGTCAATGGTGGGGTGGGCAAGGCGGGGGACGTGAAGCAGGCCAGAGCCCGCTGAGGGGAGGGAGCAGGCAGGTTGTTGGGGGGTTAGGAGGTTGCAGAGGTAGGGGGGAGCAAGGCCATGATGTCTTTGAAGATGAGGACCAGGATCTTGAACTGTATCCTGTGTGATGGGAAGCCAGTGGAGTTGGGCAAGGATGGAAGTGATAGGGTCACGGAGGCTGGTGCGGGAGAGAACACGGGTTGCAGAGTTCTGGACGACCTGCAGCCTATGGAGAGAGAAGTTGGGGAGGCTGACAAGCAGTGAGTTCATGAAGTCAAGCCTGGATGTTACGAATGTGCGTATGAGGGTTTTGGTGGCCTAAGGTGTGAGACAGTGGCAGAGCCGGCCAATGTTGTGGAGGTGGGGGAAGGCAGAGCGGATCATGGCACGGATGTGGGGTAGAAAGGATAGTTGAGGGTCAAACAAGACACCAGGGTTCCGGACTGGCTCAGTGAGGTAGTGTGCGCATCCATGGATGGTGATGCTGTCAGAGCCTGAGGTGTGGAGGCACTGACAGGAGCCAATCAGGAGAGCCTCGGTCTTGTTGACGTTCAACTGAAGGAAGTTAGCTCTCATCCAGGACTTGATGTCTGACAGACATTCTGTCAGGACAGCAGTGGTCCTGGAATCAAGGGTGGAGGCAGAGGTAGAATTGGGTGTCATCCGCATACATATGGAAGTTGACCCCATGTCTGTGAATGTTGTCATCAAGAGGGAGCATATAGATATTAAAGAGGAGGGGATCAAGGACAGAGCCCTGAGGAATGCCACAAAAGACATTGCGAGGAATAGAGGAGAAAATGTTTGTGGAGATGAAGTGTAGGCGGTGTGTGAGGTAGGATCTGAACCATGAAGGTTGAGGTGAGAGGAGAAGTGGCGGAGGAGGATAGAGTAGTCAACGGTATCGAAGGCAGCGAAGAGGTCAAGGAGACGAGGAGGCAGAGGGAGCCCTGGTCATAGATGGACAAAATGTCATTTGTCACTTTGACCAAAGCTGTTTCTGTGATATTTTCAAGCAAGAGTTCCTAAAAAGACTCCCACATAGATGTTTCTAATACAGTAATAATAATCCTTTCTTTTTGATATTGTGCTTTTCAGGTCAAGAGGACAGATCAAATCCTTCACAGGATTTACTATGAAGTCTAGTGACTGTATTTTGTAGATGCACTGTTTATCTAAAATAGAAAAATGTCCTTCTAAAGTACTCTTCCCACAAACGAGAACCCATGGCTCATTTCTCTCAATGTTCAGTGTGAGAAAGACCACAAGGAATGCTATTCACTTAAGATGAGATGAAGTGTTAATAGCCCTATGATCTTTGCCACTTCCATTCGACAGAAAGATGAACCTAAGCTTTAGTTTATTTTAACTTCCCTCTTCCATTGCAAGCATTGACTTGAGAGTTTAAGCAATGGCCAGGTCATCTCAAACCACAACAACTTTATTTGCACTTCACCTTTTCGGTTTGATATTCTATAAGAGTACTCCCGTGTTACCTCCAATTGATTGCAATTTTACAGCACTACTGCAAAGCTTCAAAAATGTTGACAAGTTAATACTTTTGTTGATTTTACAATCATCATAATTTTGCACTAGAAGATAAGTTAATACGTACCAATTACACCCATGCATATAAATATGGGGATTTCATACCAATTATATTGGATAGCCTGTTAAAAAAAACAAAAAATACAGTTGCTGACAAGACAAAGACCTTTGCAAAGTGGGAGTTAGGAAACAAGTTTGGAGAAACAAATCAAGAGCATTAATATCTTCCAGATACATTATTTAAATCTTAGTGATACTGCAGGAGCCTAAAAAAAATCAGATGCTTTCAGCACCTGCCCAAGGTGTGTTGAAGAAAAATCAAAGTAATTCTATAAGAACAAAACACAGATTCACAGGGTTCTACCCCAAGAATTCACAGCTTCGTACCAGCAAAGTTTCCATTACACAAAGCTGGGTGCTAAAAGTTTTATGGAATCATCTTCCGGTATGTATATTTTGGGGGATTAGCCGGGTGTCTGACACACGCGGAAGATTATCCAAACCAAGTTGAGATTTCCATAATCAATCATTATTTGATTTTCTTACCTCACTTTGAAACTGCCCAAAGTTGATGAGACCTGGGTTGGACAGGTCACCAGGTTTGCCACGGTAGGCACTCAGCACAAAGTTTAAAGTAAATGTTGAAATCATTGAAGCAAAGAACTGCAAGGAAGAATTATGCCAAAAGTCAAACTCAATCTTAAAACAGATTCCTGTTAAGTGCTTCCTCTCACACTATTCTTCACTGTTTAACGCATCGTCTCCACCTGCAGGTTTTTAAAAATAACCAAAAGTCCCCTGCTTTACAGAAACATATCAAAATTGTTGCTCATTCTTTCTTCCATTTCAGTTCAACCTTCATAGAAGGGAGCAGACCCACTAAGGGATATAGGGTACTGTAACTAAGATAATGCTGGGTTGGGATACCTCTCGATTAGTATCACCACAAACATTGTTTTTAAAAAAACAGATGTTATGCACCAACAAGCTGTTCTCAAGCCAAATCCCTATGGCATACTGGAGGAGAAGAGTGGCAATGAAAGTCAAGGTTCCACTACTGGAGTAATAAAATGATCGACTTCCTGAAAACTGACAACATTTTTTGTTTCAGATTAAATGTATTGTCCCCCCATGTATTATTCCCTGCGTATCTCTGTCAGATGGCCTGCAAGCTGATCAACTAGCACTGCTTCACTTACACAACTTTAAAATCAAAACAGTAAACTTGTTTGTTATCCTGATTGGGATTTAAGTGATCAACAATTGATATGTTCAAGAATCATTTTCACCCAAAATCTTTTCAACTTCACATACACCGTGTGTTTCCTTGAACATTGCTTATTGCTTTTGTCTCTGAACTTTTAAAATTGGGATTCACCACAAATAGGTTTGTCGATTTATCAACTGCAACTTCAAAAGGTTCATTCACGTCCCAACAATCAAATGGTTCGCTTTCAATGATCTGTACTTACAATACGCCAAGTGAGCATCTGATTCCAGAATGAAGCTCCTTCTTCCAAGCTGAAAAGAACACCCCCTGTAAGATAAGCAAGTTATATTCACAGCAAGTGCAACCCCAGTAAGCCACAACACAGCTCTGCATATTGTCAATGAAGGTCATATTGATCCACATATCATGATAAAATTAAAGTCAGAGTAATTTTATTCCCAAGTATAAAATGGTCAATTTTCAAGCCCCTGCCTGAAACCTTTCGCATTATCTTGTGAGCAAGGCTTAGCTACAAATATTTTTGCTTGAGCGTCTGTGAATCACATTGTTGCTTACCTACAGGGGCACCAAAAGCAGCAGAAACTCCAGCTGCCGCTCCTGCGGACACAAAATCCCTCTTTTCGGTGTCCCTGCGAAAATACTCAAATATCTGAAACACAGAATCACAAGAGGGTGATGAAACCACTTCTAAAGTTTAACTATTCTCTACGTGAAACAGCAATAAGAAAAAACACTTCCAGTCTTGACATTGTTTGGCTTGTTCGTCTTGAATTCATTGATATCATCCTGTAATTTATTGTATGTGTGTGTAGCTCGATTTAGAGGGAAGTCTCTTAAACAGTTCCATAAGTATAAATGTCAATGGTCGACAACTGATGTTTCTTTGGTCATGTTAGTGAACTACGAAAAGTGGACCCTCAAAATGATCCACATTTTTATTTCATGCATAAACTTTAACAATGCTTAATAATGAAGCAGTCCTTGCAACAACAACTGGCATTTATATAGTGCCCCTCACGCAGAGTAGCGTCCCAGAGCACTTTAACATATCCATGACAGACACGGAAGGATTATAAATAGGCAGCAACGATATTAAAACCAACCTTGAAATCTTTCTTTAGGGTTGAGGTCCTGCCTTGAGAAATACCAGCCGCAATGACCGCACCAGAATGGATCATAGGACCTTCCTGAAGGACCAAATGAACAACATGAACACACAACGCATTAAACTGGCCGTTAAGCAACAAAACTAACTGAATTCAGTTGCTGAGGTTATTCAGAAGATCTAAGTGTAATTGAATTCAGTTTTTGGCTCAGCAGCCAAGACTTTACTTGAGATAAAACAAGTTGCCTTTGATGTCACATCATACATTTGCGACCATCATACGGCTGCCAATTTTGGAGCGTCTACAATACTAAAATATAGGGTAGAGGGAAGAAATGGCTCATGTTTCTGCTAGTTAAGTTTCACTTCTTTTACAGCAACAACAATTTGCATTTATATAGCGCCCTTCACGCGGGGTAGCGTCCCGGAGCGTTTGACAGTGGTGGTGTCTGTCAACGAGCCAGGGGAGAGGCAGTAGAATATTTCTGTTGCACCTTACCTTCCCGACTGCCAGTCCACCAACCACAGAGAAGAGCACCCCAAATACTTTCACCGCCAGAGTCTGCAAGATAAAAACAGTAACACTAAAGGCAAAATGCATAGGACACAATCAATAATAATAACAACAACTGCACAACTACTGCATAAACCATTATCTAGGAGAAACTACATAAGATTTTCTTGACATACCGTATTTTAAGTGAGGCTATGAGTTTTTGTTTTTACAGGTGAAATGCACCTTTCATAACCGAAAAGCTGTACTTCCCAACTTCAATTATTTGGGTTCAGATTCAAAAGCTTTTTTCTGTTTAAAAGTAGATTTTGATTAAACGTATTGCTTACTTTAAGACGAACCACATGTGGCACCTTCACTCCATTGAGGTAGCATTTGATCTGGGGAATTCCACTGCCAGCAGCTGCAGGCTAAAGCAAAACATTACTAACTCACGACAGCCACACAGACCAGCTTCAAGATTATTGATCAGTCAAAATTGTTTAGCTTGATTTTACTCCCATTTTTACAGCATAATACATTCAGCACCACAATGACGGTTTTACAGTAATGCCGTGCACACCCAACAGACACAAAGTGCATTTCATACATCAGTGTCACACTACCCCATTGATTCTATAAGCCCTTTCTGCAATTTTCTTTTCAGGATAATAATAATAATAATCAATGCAACCCACACTTCGAACAAATTAGTTTATGGTGCACAAATCACAAAATTTACTGTGCAAAACAATATAAAGTTCCATTTAACTCAAGGTAAGGATTATGCCTGTCATTTACTTAAATGAATAGAAATCCAGAATGGCTGTTAATACATTACTTTAAAATTGCTACAATGGTTATATTGACAAGACAATCTGTTGGCAAGAAAGTAACTTACAACGCTTTTGCAAAAAATCTAAATAACCAGTGGCACACTTCAAAGTCGTATTTAAGCATAACATTTTATAGCGCACACTTTCTAACAAAAACAGAATGCGCACAGCAAGAGAGATCTCAGTACCTCTATAAATGCAACCATAAAAGAACCAAACATCACAAAGGCAGCATTCAGTGCTGCCCAGAGCACCAGTGAGATAGATAATCCACCTCCTTCTGTGGATTTATCAATATCTACACAGCAATTAAGGAAAATCAACTATTACATACATCTGCCAAAAGATTTAAATACAAATATTAAACACAAAAGCCCTGAAAACAGGAGAAATTTGTATTAATATACACATTGCAAAGTACTGGTAAGCTGCACATACCACAGTACCAATCTAAATAAAAGTAAATAAATAATCGAATAATGAAAAACACCAGTTAACATTAGAGACCTTCATAAGTTGTAACTATTTCTCAGTTCTTGGAACATGTAAAAGGATACTTTCTTTGATGACTTTGTACTTTATACCTGCAACGATTTCTATAACAATATCAATGAAACAGGCAATGAGTCCAGTAAAGATTCCAATAAAGCAACATACCACCCATCGATTGATTTCAAGTACATCAAAGCCCTGTATGAAAATAAAATTAAAAAATAATTAATATTCAGGATGTGAAAAACAACCAAGGCAATGTAAAGAATGGCATAAACAGCCAAAGAACACCTATATTTCTTAAAAACAAATTCATTTGTTGAAATTGGACAATACATACCACCAACGGTGACTTTCTAACTCACTGCAAGATGTACTGTATTCCATTAGTGATAGGAAACCCACTCACGCAAACCAATAAACCTCACTGCGTATATGTGGGGGCACAGGGCTGAGAGTGTACACTCATTGAAAGTGAACATACCACAACTGACAAGAATAAGTATATTTCACTACCCCTTGGTATAATGTTTCCAGTTAGCCACTGCATATCCAAATGTTAGCATCTGAGTGTTCAACAGGCTAAATAGGTTAGCCACCTATCCAGCATTTGATGCGCAATTTCGGTTTTATAATGAGATAATATAAATGAAGTCTTGTTCACCCTCTGCTGAGACAGAAATTCAGAGTATCCCCCGAAAATGAATGAAGTGTCCTCTGAGCTGGCTGTTGGTATTTGATTTTAAGGAGTATTTGTCAAGTCAATACAGCAGTTAACTGAAGTAAGCACTATGTATAGCAGCACTAACCATTTTGCTCGTCTTCCTCTCCTCTTCCATAAATAGTTGATTTTCACTATTATCATAGTCAAGACTCTGGAAAACAGTTTAAAACGATAATGTAATAAAATCTGTTCTCAGTGACACATTTTAATAATGGTTTGAAACAGCCTTAGAAAATTCTGACTCTTAGCTTTTGGGGGGAGTGGAAGACTTCAAACGAGAATTTAAGTTAATAGATCAACACTTTTTTACATAATTTAGATGTGCTAAAAACCTTCAGATTGATACCATCCATGGAGTACTATTGAAATAAACTGAAATTGTTTTATTTAGAGAACAGACATTTCAGATTACAATCACAAAATTGTTGTACGACAAAGGGGTTTAGTGGACACTGCCCAGGTTCCCACCTGAACAATATTCACAAGGGCAATAAGTACCACAGATCAAAGTTCATTGAATAAATGGCCAAGGACAATTTTCCCTATTCCAAACAACAGTAAACAGTTACTAGCAATCTCGGGAAAGAACTTAGGCTTCAGACTTGGGGAAGGTAGTACGATTGACAGATTGTTTGCATTGTTGAGCCTCCAGCCTTGAAATGGAAGTATCCTCAAAATATTGCTGTATCATAATATATTCTAAAACTATTAGATGAGTTTCTAAGAAAAATACCTACCTCATATTTAAGTGAAAGCAATTTTTCATTGTGAGCAATTTCCTTAGCAACACAAATAGGTGGATCACTATCCTAAGGGAAAAACACAGAAAATTAAAAAAAACTATCAGAAGAGTACATTTTCTTAACCTGTGACCTGATGACTAAAGTGGCTCGAGACTCCAAACATTCTCTGCCAAACCAACGGCAGAGGCAAAAACATATTGTTACAGCTTATACTGCTGCTCTGGATTGCACTAGTCCTTCAAAACACTGCACCATGGAATTATACGATGCTGACTCACTTGTGCCTCTTTTCAGAAAGCACACGCATGGTCTCAGCAGAGCTGACAAGGGTTAGTTGGTTCTTGAGCGGAGACCACACCTGCAGAGGGAGAGTCATTTTGAACCACATGACACATCACAATCAGGAGAGGGCAGGAAGAAGGAAAACTGTCTGCTCCTGATCAATGAATAGATGAATCAACAATAATAATCCTTGTATATGATATAGCGCCTGATCACGTTTTGAGACATCTCAAAGCACTTCACAGAATATACTGTAAAGTGAATTGATTGTATGTTTTGTGGAAGAAGCGCGGCACCAATTGCGCACAGCAGTGTCCCACAGACAATCGTGGATTGAAATGACCAATTTTTTTTTGAAGGAATTATTACCCCCGGAAAAGTGATCCATCAATCAACTAACAATCGAGTTCCTACTTGCTGCTAGGTAAACAAAGACGGGTAGAGTAAGGAAACTTGCCCAATATTTCGCCCTGCCGGGAACCGAACCCAGGTCTCTCGCTTGCTCTAACCACTGAGCTACAGGACTTCAATTAATCCTCAGCACACAGTGCTGCCAGCACAAGGGTCCTCAGAATGTTTTAAAAATAATTACCGGGTCTCGTGTAGCATCATCATCCAAATCCACATTGCTCAGCCTTCCGATGAGGAAGAAATTTGCTTGGGGCGACTAGAGAAGGAAATAGAAAGAAAAATCTGATGAGTTGCGGTTAATGGAAACCAAAGCAGAAACATATGACTCCAACACCACCGAAAACAGTGTAGATACGAAGACAGAAGTGCAAACATCAGCAGGACTCAAAACAAACTTTACTAACAATGGTGTTCAGAGTCCCTAAACTGTTGCACAACTTAACAGAGGAACTGTTTGTATAGAATTATAGCTCAGTAACTGCCTGCATGATTAAGTTCATTATAATTTAAAAAGGGGGAAGTCAGGGAAAGGCTGCGTGCAACATTTTTGTTTCTAACAATCCACGAGGGATTAAAATACTTTTCCAATTGGTCTTTTTATTGGGTTCTCATGTAGGTTCACAAAAAACAACTTGGATTTATATAGCGCCCTCCACGCTGGACGGCGTCTCAGAACGCTTCACAGTAATGGATCCCGGGACTGGGAAAAAATGAACCTATGCAATGTTTCTATTTCAAATGTTGATCTATCTGTTATTTTATAACTTTTTCTGTTTTGCTGTTCTCCACAAGTGTCTATTTCTCTATCTGACCAATTCACGTTTGAAAGTTTTTTCCCCTCACAACAGTATATAATCTTATTTCATTATTATTGTTCCCTTATGTGCTTGATTTCATAAGCTTTCTCATGCAGAGAGTTTCACCTGGACTTTCTTGCAGATTTAGACAGTTAAACGGTCAACGCAGGATTGTGGAAGGTAAGTATAGATAGTTAGACGAAGGAAGTAAAGACTGAAAATAGAAAGAGTTAAACATTCTTGCAATCCTGGTGTACTATATGGAGGGTTGAGAAAAGGGAAGTGCTCATTTGCAGACACTGTCAAAAGCTTTAAAAGGTCTCATCAATGACAGGTGAATCCACAAAGTGTTCAAGAGCAGCGTTCCGGAGAGGAGTAGCTGGGAATATCTTCAATTGTGGATTGGCTATGCCAAAAGTCGTACTGGTAATCTTGAATTATATCAGCACCTTTCTGATTGAAGACTAATTTTAAGAGCGAGTCCAACAGTTATGCTGAAAAGCACAGAATAGGAACCTGAAAGCAAGAGGCATCTCCTTTCTTGAGGATAGAATGAACACAAGCAAAAGAGAAGGAATGATAGGAGAGATTGAAGAGATGACAAAGGACCGAAAATAGATCAGAGATGCATATTGAGGACAATAAGGTTTACAATTGAGAGGTATAATTATTTGAGTCCAGGACCCAGCAGAAACGATGGGGATAATGTTTGAGGGAGATAAATGTGTGGTTTGTCTGAGGCTATTCTGTAAGACACAGATAAAGAGAAGTGATCAGAAGAGCCCAGGCTTGAGGAAACATATGGAAACTAAAAATAAAGACTGGATTTTTTCTCTAGAGAGAGAGAGGGGGATGTCAGTGGGTGGTGGGGGGGTGTCAGTGTGTGGGTGGGGGGGGGTGTCAGTGGGTGGGGGGGTGTCAGTGGGTGGGGGGGGTGTCAGTGGGTGGGGGGGTGTCAGTGGGTGGGGGGGGTGTCAGTGGGTGGGGGGGGTGTCAGTGGGTGGGGGGGGTGTCAGTGGGTGGGTGTGGGGGGGGGGGTGTCAGTGGGTGGGTGTGGGGGGAGTGTTAGTGGGTGGGTGTGGGGGGGGGTGTCAGTGGGTCTGGGGGGGGGGTGTCAGTGGGTGGGGGGGGTGTCAGTGGGTGGGGGGGGTGTCAGTGGGTGGGGGGTGTGGGGGGGTGTCAGTGGGTGGGTGGGTGTGGGGGGGGGTGTCAGTGGGTGGGTGGGTGTGGGGGGGGGTGTCAGTGGGTGGGTGTGGGTGTGGGGGGGTGTCAGTGTATGGGTGGGTGTCAGTGGGTGGGGGGGGTGTCAGTGGGTGTCAGTGTGTGGGGGGGTGTCAGTGGGTGGGTGTGGGGGGGGTGTCAGTGGGTGGGTGTGGGGGGGGTGTCAGTGTGTGGGTGTGTGGGGGTGTCAGTGGGTGTGTGGGGGTGTGTCAGTGTGTGGGGGGGGGTGTCAGTGTGTGGGGGTGTCAGTGGGTGTGGGGGGGGTGTGGTGGGTGGGGGGGTGTGTGGGGGGTGTCAGTGTGTGGGGGGGTGTCAGTGTGTGGGGGGGTGTGTGGGGGGGGTGTCAGTGGGTGGGGGGTGTGGGGGGGGGTGTCAGTGGGTGGGGGGGTGTCAGTGTGTGGGGGGGTGTCAGTGTGTGGGTGGGTGTGGGGGGTGTCAGTGGTGGGTGTGTGGGGGGTGTCAGTGTGTGGGGGGTGTCAGTGTGTGGGGGTGTCAGTGGTGGGGGTGTGTCAGTGTGTGGGGGGGGGTGTCAGTGTGTGGGGGTGTCAGTGGGTGTGGTGGGTGGGGGTGTGGGGGGTGTCAGTGTGTGTGGGGGTGTCAGTGGGTGTGTGGGGGGGTGTGTGGGGGGGTGTCAGTGGGTGGGGGGGTGTGGGGGGGGGTGTCAGTGGGTGGGGGGGTGTGGGGGGGGTGTCAGTGGGTGGGGGGGTGTGGGGGGTGTCAGTGGGTGGGGGTGTGTGTGAGGGGGTGTCAGTGGGTGTGGGGGGTGTCAGTGGGTGGGGGGTGTGTGAGGGGGTGTCAGTGGGTGTGGGGGGGTGTCAGTGTGGTGGGTGTGGGGGGGGTTGTCAGTGGGTGGGTGTTGTGGGGGGGGTGTCAGTGGGTGGGGGTGTGTGTGGGGGGGTGTCAGTGTGTGGGGGGGTGTGGTGGGTGGGGGTGTGTGTGGGGGGGTGTCAGTGTGTGTGGGGGGGGGTGTCAGTGGGTGGGGGGGTGTGGGGGGGGTGTCAGTGGGTGTGGGGGGGGTGTCAGTGGGTGGGTGTGGGTGTCAGTGGGTGTGGGGGGTGTCAGTGTGTGAGGGGGTGTCAGTGGGTGGAGGGGGTATCTCAGTAGCCGGGGCCTGGTCGGTCGGTCGGGGTCCCGCCGCTGTACCTGTCCGGGGGGTTCGGTTTGATCCGCCTGTGTCGGGGTCGGTGTCGGGGTGTGGGCTCTGGTCGGGGAGCCGTTGAGCAGCGGCACGGACTCCCCCCCCGCTCCGCCGCGCTGCTCGTCCCCTTTGCTGGACCAGGACACCCTCTTGGCCACATTCGCCATCTTCCCGCCTCTGATCCCGTGACCTCTCCCCCTCTCCCCCCCGCGCGCGCACTCTCTACGGGAAGCCCAACCCGTCAGGTCCGTCCGTCCGTCCGTCCGCCCAACAAACGCGCATTTCGCAATCACTCCCAACTCGAAACCTCATTGCTGACCCTGTAACCCCTGAGGGGCAAACTGTCTGACTCTCTCTCTCTCTCTCTATCTCTCTCTCTCTATCTATCTCTCTCTCTCTCTCTTTATATTTAATTATATTATATTTTAATATAATACTCCCTCCCAAACCCCAAACAATAACAAATCTTTTATTTAATATTTAATATGTAATTAAATATTTAATTTAATTTAATATTTAATTATTAAATACCCGCTGACATATTATTTAATGAATTGTAATGATATTTAATGAATTTTCAATCCACGACTGTCTGCGGGACGTTGCTGTGCGCAATCGGCCGCCGCGTTTCGCCCGCAAATATATACAGTCAATTCGCTTTGCAGTGTGTTCTGTGAAGCGCTTCGGGACGTCCTCCCGACGTGAAAAGCGCTGTGTCAAATGCGAGGATTATTATTATTATTATTAATTCATGATAATCCTGGCATTGGGTACGGCCCCCGATCGCCCCCTTCGAGACCCCCTTCGTGGCGCTCCGCGGAATGCACCGCGCCTTGCGCGGACTCCCCCCCCCCCCGCGCCCCCCGCGCGGCGCGTGGGCTGGGACGCGGCGATCCTTCTTCGCGCCGACCCTGATCGCGGCCGGAGTGGCGGTGAGAGGGGGGGTCGGCACGTTCCTGATCTCGCTCGCCGCCTCCACGTCGCGGTGAGTCGCGTGGGGGTGGGGGTGGGGGGGCGCTTGTCAGAGGCGTCCTTTCCGGGCGCGATAAGGCGCTACGCCGCGTGGAAGGAGTTATGATCGGGGAGTGGGTTTTGTGATCCATCCTCGCGCTTTTGCAACGCCGCCTGACCGCATCGCAACTCCTTGAAGAGCTTCGCGGGATTTTATGGTGAAGTGCAGTGGCTATGTGTTTTTTGGGGGGAGAAACGCGGCAGCCAATTTGCACACAGCGATGACCCACAGACATCCAATGGAGTGAATGACAAATTTTATTGGGGGATTGTTAGCCCCGTACAATGGGAGAAAACTCCCTTCTCTGTTTGAGAATGGTGCCACTGGATATTTAATGTCCACCTGGAATGAACAGGATAGACGGGACCGCGTCCAAAGGACGACATTTCTGACCATGAAGTGCTCCCCCAATGCTGTGTGTCAGCCTCGACCATGACCTCCAAGTCTTCAAAGTAAACCACGGACCTATGATCTTAGAATACATTGGAATATGCAGCACAGAAACAGGCCATTCGGCCCAACTGGTCTATGCCGGTGTTTATACTCCACATGAGCCTCCTCCTGCCCTTCCTCAACTAAGCCTTCAAACAGAACCTTCTATTCCTTTCTCCCCCATGTACCTCTCCAGCTTTCCCTTAAATACATCTATGCTATTTGCCTCAACAACTCCTTGTGGTAGCTTGTTCCACATTCCCACTACTCTGGGAAGAAATTTCTTCTAACTTTCCTGTTTGATCTATTTGTGACTATTTCATATGGAAGGCCCCTGGTTTTGGTCTCCCCCACAAGTGGAAACATCTTCCCTCTGTCTACCCTATCAAAATCTTTCATAATTTTAAGGACAACAACAACAAAATGACATTTATAGAGTGCCTTTCACGTCGGGAGGATGTCCCAAAGCGCTGAACAGTCAGGTGTCGGGGCCCGAGCATGGGGGAGAAGTGCGGTAGGGATGAGGAAAAGCAGAGAGGTGGGAGGGAGACCAAAGGCACGATCGAAGAGAAGGGTCTTGAGACCGGCCTTGAAGGATGCAAGGGAGGAAACGAGGGGAAGGGACCGTGGGATGGAGATCCAGAGTGTGGGGGCAGAGAGGCTGAAAGCCCGGACACCGATGGTAGGGCGGGTCGGGTGGGAGACATGGAGCAGGTCGGAGCCTGATGAAAGGAGGGAGCGGGCAGGTTGGTAGGAAGTCAGCAGGTCACCCCTTACTCTCCTCTTCCAAGCATATTCAGCCTTTCCTGATAGGTATAACCTCTCAGTTCTGGGATCATCCTTGTGAATCTCCTTTGCAAATAATCTCCTATAATTTTTTTTCCAAATGATCCAAGCTGATTATTTCGAAAGTTGGTTCTACTCTAGCAGTCCCCTCAACACACACTCGAGGGTCCCCAAGCATTGACTCTTTCTAACCTGTGATTTTACGAGATGTTGCTGGTGCAAATCAGCTGCCATGTTTGCCTACACAACAGCATTCACTTTCATTTCAAATCAAACATTTTGTCAAGTGCTTTGAGGTTGGAAAGCACTTGACAAAATATAAATGCTGGGTGTTATTATGATTACTTATTAGAAAGAACGAGGCAGGCAAGAAAGCCATTCAAAAAACATGAAGCTGTTTATTTTTCATATGTAAGACATTTTACAGGATTCTTTGCCCCACAGGAGTCCCCCCCCCCACACGTACTCACACGCATGCAATATTGCATCAATCATTTCAAAGTGGCATTTGTGTTGATCCATGCAAATCAGGGCAAATACATATTTAAGCAATCCGTTAGTGTAATACAGTGTCACTCTAAATGATGTGTTCTTATATTTTTAAGTTTTGTATGCTGAAAATAGTGATTTCTTGATGGGTTAAAATATGAAAACAAATCCCAGGCAAAGCTCTCAACATTGGGCGGAGGGGGAAGAGGGAGGGGGGGGGGGGGAGGAGAGGGGGGTATTATGATCAAAAAAGAAAGGGATGGATCACGAGCCCATTTAAATTCACACAGCTTTGTTTCTTTTCGGAGCGATAAATTTAAGTTTAGGTTACATTTGTAAAATCAAAATACAGTCAAGTCACACTTCTGCAGTCCAGTACTGATAAATCTCTCTCAGCACGATAACCATGTAACCATCATTAAAGAATCATGGGTTTGTGGTAAATATCATGAGGTTTTTAGAGCTGACAAATTATATTAGTCTACGCACCCTCTTTTCCTGTTATAAAGCTTTCACTTTTATTGATTAGTGCAACAAAAGTGGTAGATACATATAAAACATGCATTACCAGGTGCAGAGAAGTTGTATAATTATAACGCATATATGACTTAAATGTGCAGGAAATGTAATGGGACCTTTATTGTCATAAAATTAGGCCATAGATATCTTTTCCCACGTGTTGCTATTTTAAGTTTGCAGTTGCCCAAGTTTGAGCCATGTTGGCAAGTGTATAATTCGTGTGTTTCTTCAGGATTTATACGATGCAAGTGAAAGGATTCACAAAAGCAAATTGAGAATACGTTTGTGTGGATATACAATATTATGTACTATGTCCCTGACATTTGGAATTCTCTGCCTCAATCCCTCTGCCTTGTACCTCCTTTATCTATCCGTTGCAACGTCTCAGGGGACTGGGCCAACATAAATGTTACATCTGCACAATAAATATTACTAAAAACATCAGGTACCAGTCCATATCCACAGCCCTGGCCTGAGCTGTGTGTATTGTTAGTATATAATGCATTAGGATAACAGAACGCAAGTATTTTGCACAATACTGCACATGTAATTCCAGATCTTGTCATTCTTCTCCTGCAAGCTGTTTACACCATCCATTCTGATCACCTCAACTTTTTTTTGAGATGAATGCAGTATAAACAAATGTAGTATTTGATATTTCGCCACATTCTTTAAATTGTCAGCACAGTTACCAAAGGAATTGAACCTTGAAACTTCAATCTCACAGAAGTACTCGAATTTCCTAATTATTTTCCATCCTTTCCTCCCTTGCATTCAAAGTGAGCATTCCATCAGTCCGGTCGGGAATTGGTTAGGAACACAGGAACAGGAGTAGGCCATTCAGCCCCTCCAGTCTGTTCTGCCATTCTGTTAGATCATGGCTGATCTGTATCTCAACTCCAAATACTCGCCTTTACCCCAAATCCCTTGATACCCTGACCTAATAAAAACCTCAGTCTTGAAAATTTGAATGTTTGAATGGATACAACTTATATAACTATCAATTTAAAAAAATGATTAGCAGATGGCAGTTTTAGTGTTCTGAACCTACATCAATATGCTTTTGTTCCGTGAAGTATTTAAACATAGAAATATGAATGTCTTATTGACTAAGAGATCTTATTAAATCTAAGAGAAACTGTAAATGTATCAAATATAGTCTGAGAACAGTAAGCATGAGCTGAGTTTAAAATTAGAGTAATGTGGTTTCAAACAGCCTCTGGATGTTTTAACTTGCAAATCAAATTGGAGATATACGCAAGAAACACTATCATTCTGATTTCAAAACAAATTTTATTAAAGACAAGATCATAAATCCTCTGTAACATGCGAACAATTCCAAGTTGATTGATCTTTGATGAATGATTCTGCTTGTAACGTAAAGAGTCTTGTGTCTAGAGAATGCACTCTAAATTCAATTGGTGAGATCCAGGGCGTTTTCGCATGACATTGGTCGTATCTTAGCCAAAAATTAGCTCAGATTGCTTCTCTCTGAGAATAAACGTTTTTAGCAAAAATAAAAGCCACGATCGGAATTAATACATCGTCTCAGCAAAAGAGAACACTTCACAGGAAGCCTAGTTGAGGCTTCACAAGAAATAAGCCCTAAAATACATCACTAATATTAAGTAACAATATGCAAAGTTATGAACTTGTCATTCATAAATTAAATGAGTACAACAATACATTGCACAAAAATCGACCTTGCAAAACTATTTCAGTCTTTTCACCCGTTGCAGTCTTTGTGGTTTTGTACTATTCCAAAATTATATTCTATAAAGGTAAGAAATATATATGTTGGAATCATTTCACCCTTTTCATCTTTTGCGTGTTGTTTTCTCGCAATCTCTTCCGAAATCAGGGATCGTTACCTAAGTGTAGCTTTTTGGAAAAAAGGTGATCTTGAAATTAAATGCAAACTCCGTAGACTTAAACACAGCACCTTTAAATGTCCATCTAGCAAAATGCAGAAGCTGCCAAAGAATATGTGTGTGCATTGCAATCAATCGTGGCACAAAGAATAAAATATCAAAGAGTCCCCATCCAATGTGTTGCTTTCACCAGCAGCGATCGAGGCAAGTACAATTGACATGCTGGACAGTGCCGCTCAGAGTGGAAATATCACCAAAGGTTAAAATCTTGCCTCTGGGTAACGTCTTTCCTGTGGCGATGCTTGAGATCTCTCCCGGAGACAAGGCGCGGTTCCAAACAGTGAATCCAGCCAGAACCCCCACGAAGGATTCGGTTTCATCAAAGCCTCCTCCCATGTTATCCTGCTCCTGACCCACCACCAGTGTCCCACCAGTTGGGATCTCGTAGCCCTTCTGGAATTTGGATCCAGCTGCTGTCAGACGCCTGTCAATGTAATACCAGTACTTCCCTTCAATGGAAGACCAGATAATGCAAATGTGATGCCAGCGGCCGTCTAAGAGAGACACCACAGGGAGTTCCCGGAAAGCTGGGTCTCCGATGACAAAGTGTATGGTGCTCTGCTTGCTTGCATTTCTGCCGTGGAGCACCAATTTGTTGTCGTTGTCCTCTGTGGCATAGGATAGGATGGTTCCCAAATAGTCTGAAGGTGTATTGAGCCAAGTGCAGATGGTCATTTCAAACAGCCCACTCGAAAAGCCTTTGCCAAACCTTACATAGTTGTCAGTAGATGGTGTGGGGAAGTACAGCATGGAATCCACATTGCAAACTGCAATCAAATAAAATAAACAGAACTTTAATCCCTAAAGAACCGAATGCAGTTTGTTACAAACCCTTCCTTTCTAAGTCTTCCCAGTCGCTCACAGCAGTGTCCCGCAAACGATCATGGATTGAGTAACCCACTTTTGGGGGGACATTGGTATGCTCTGGATTGCTTCTGACCTTTCCCATTTTGTGGATCCAATTACATAATCTGTCATGCACTCAGATTAGCTTGTTAGTACCAAAATGGCTTTTCCTACTGCCTCTGAATTAGACGCGTCTGCTCTGTATTATTTCCAGCTCTCATGATTTTGTATTACATACTTTTCAAAATCTATTGGAAATGTATTTTAGCACATCACGGTGACATTTACCAACTCCCCCCTCCCCAAAAAACAACAAAACTGCAGTAAAAATGCATGTATTTGGTACCTCGAACAGTGAAACCATTATGGAAAACACAGGGCGATAGAAGTTTAAAAATAAGATTTTTTTTTCTTAAATTAACGATTGCCTTGTACAACTGAGATGAAACAGCCGTATCGCCTTCCTTCCCGCGCTACTCAGATTGCTACTGGAATCCCATCAACATACTTGTCCCTTCTTTATTGGAGAAGCGATGTCTACTGCGTGGTGCCTCATTGAGGGATCTCAGTAGATGCAATGGTGTTGATGTGGCTGGTACTAAATGGGATGAGCTTGGCTTTGCTGCGAGAGCATCGTTCTGCAAGGTGCTTTCCATCTGTTCCTCAAACTTGGCCATTTTAATCCCTTGGTCCTTCACCTCTTCCCGCAGGGTGTCTATCTCCTTCTGGAGCTTGTTCCTGCCACCAACCAGGGAACTGATTTCACTTCTCTGGACCTTTGCCTCTGTGGTCAGGTTGGCTATGACCAAATCCTCAACCTTCTTGTGTTTCGCTACCTGCTTTCTTCGCTCGTTGAAGATTTTCTCCAAAGTTGACATTTTCAGGTCGATGTTTTTGCTTTTCTTCTGCAATTTCTTCATCCACATCTTCAACCCCTTGAGGTCATCTTCCTCACTGGTGTGGAACCGGTCAATGACAGCGCTGAGATTGTCGTATTGATCCGTTAGCGTCCGAAAACGTGCTTCTATATTCGAAGAGATGTTGAATTTCTCAGCGATGCCTTGCAACTGGGTCAGACTGAGCTCTTGGAATCTGCGAAACTGTGGCCGTAACATTGGAAATGGGAGCAAATTAGTTTTTTTCAAAAGAAGAAAGAGTAGAATTAACAATAACTAAACTTTTGCAGCATGTTTACTTGTCCGATGTTCATTTGAGCCCAATCGTAACTTAATACACAATCTGTTGAAAATCGTTAATGTGACTTTAAAAAGAACTGACAGAAAGACACGACAGACAGACAGACAGACAGTTTAGGGATCGATCAGGGAAAACAAAAATTACTTTCCACGAAGTCTGAGATCAGGTCTAAGTGCTGGAACCTACCTGCTCCTCGAGTCGTCGAAACCGCTCGAAAAACGGTTTCCTTTGCGCCAAACCTGGAGTAGCATCTTGCTGGAAAGTGGCAAGTCCATCAAGACAAGCCCAAATGACCAAAATGTAGGGCAACTTCCCACAAAAAGCCATTGTGGATGGTGGGAGTGCTCTCCTGCTATTCCTACCCGGGAGGTGATGTGCTGCTGCTGCTGATCACTGTGTATAAATCCACAGTTGGGGTTGGACTGCTACTTTATATTTGGCCGACTGTTTTTTTTAAACGCGCATATGATTGATGCCTTGGTGTCCTCCCAGCTTCGGTTACAGAGGAAAACAGAAATAAAAGCTGTCATTTAAAACTTAAAACAGATGAACTTTGCAGGCCTCCTGGGTTGTGGTTTTCAAATATCTTAACATGTTTTTTTTCCCCCCCAAAAAAAATATTTTTCATTGTTCTGCTGAGAAAACAAGCCATTGAAATGATATTCAAATTAATTTGATAGCAAATATTTAAACTCTGCCCACATTATTCTATAAATAAGTCGTGATTTCCCGCATTTTTTTTTAAATGCAAGCTCATGGAGTACGTTTCTTTCCAATGCTCATTTTAGATTCTTTCATTCTTCCATCTCATCCGGAAGTCAGTTTAATATCAGTCCTTTGAAGGATTACACGTGACGAGTTGAGTTTGCTTGAGTTAGTTGCAAGAGCAGCGAGTTAAACAGAATCATGCAGAAACCTTTGTGGGGAACAATTATCATCTGGCGAAACGATGAATGAAGCG